CCCTAGCAATTGCAAAAAGGCGTAGCCGATATTCACTCCCTCTGTCACCATCCCCTAGTTGGCTGCGCGAGGTATGATGTAGACTTAGAAAATAGACACAGTGGTCGAAGTGGGCAGTTTATCAGTTATCAGATCCATTTTCATGTTACTTTTAGACAGTTCCAAAACATGATCTGACTGAGTGGTGGTCTGTATGTGAGCGAGACTAAATGGCAAAGATAGCATCAGTTAGTAGACCCGACCCGTGAAGACCCGGGTTAGAATAGGTCTTCAACAACCCATGCTTGTCGTAAAAGGCGACGATGCTTGTCGTAAGAGGCTCGTTTACATGGTTGATGCATGTCATCGTATTCCAATTACGTGGAATGATGCTCATGATGTCAATCACTGGTTTGTCTGGTTCAGACTCGATTTCTAACAGACCGCCGTCATATAGCTGGAATATTGCTGAGAGTGGTGCTAAACAACAGTTTGGCTTTAAACAAAAAACAAACAAACAAACTTAGTAGATCCAATAATATGCCGATTGAATCTTCTTCTGAAAACCTTTTCCTATATAGACAGATGCCCGGGACAATCTCCCATTTAACGTAGTAAAGTAATACCAACACGCATTTAGTTGTATTTTAATACCGTGTATATACTTTATCAATCTCACTAAAATCCTATCTTTGTTCTTTGTTTATCGGCCGCGAGAACTTAGATCTGATTTTAATGAGATCGATACTGTATGAATATACTCCTTCGATGTAAATATAATCACAACATGTTGCCGCCCGCAATCTGCGGTCATTGGCTGGTCAATGTCTACATATAGTGTGACAAAATATTGCAGGCCCCTTTAGCAAGAAAATAGTTATGATCATCGGTCCCAATCGCTCCGACACGCCTCCCACCCAGATGAATGAGATAAGATCCGGATATGTGTGGCTGTCACGTCTATTTTTAGCCGTACGTATGTTGCAGCGTGTCAATGACCTACGTTTTGTCTATCAACGGTGTTTATATTTAAACGGTAATTTCCAGATTACCAGTCTCTCCTAACTTGCCACATCAACATGTCACGTGACGCTGTCTGTTTCTCACTGGCTCTGCCAACTGAAATATTTTGGTATCCCACGTGACACCGTCCGCAGAGAACCGAGACAACTATAAAATGATAAAAATAAATAAATATAGATATTTGTTTTATCAGCCAATGTTTAGTTGAATGAATGAACTGATATTTTGTCAGCGGTTGCCTGACCTGCCGAGCCAACACCTGAGAATGGGATGGACAGAATGGCGGACCTACCTCGTGTCTCTGCTTGGGTCGCCATCTCATATTTGTGTCTGTTTGTGTCTTTAATATTTCTGTGTGCCTCTTGGCGGCCCTGGGACGGTCGGGTTAAAGCGTTCGCTCATCAAGCCGAAGACCCGGGTTCGAATCCCGACATGGGTACAATGTCTGAAGCCCATTTCTGGTGTCCCCCGCCGTGATGTTGCTGGAATATTGCTAAAAGCGGTGTAACACCAAACTCACTCACTCACTCACTTGGCGGCCCTTATATGTCTGTATTTCTGTTAGCGCTTCCAAAGTGTCTTGTGTCGGTTTTCGTCTTTCATATGTCTTGTGTCGGTTTGCGTCTCTAATATGTCTGTGTGTCAGTTGGCGTCTCTAATATGTCTCTGTGTCAGTTGGCGTCCCTGATATGTCTGTGAGTCAGTTGGCGTCCCTGATATGTCTGCGTGTCTGTTTGCGTCCCTGATATGTCTGTGTGTCAGTTGGCGCCTCTAATATGTCTGTGAGTCAGTTGGCGTCCCTAATATGTCTGTGTGTCTGTTTGCGTCCCTAATTTGTCTGTGTGTCAGTTGGCGTCTCTAATATGTCTGTGTGTCAGTTGGCGTCCCTAATATGTCTGTGTGTCGGTTTGCGCCTCATATATGTCTGTGTGTCAGTTGGCATCTCTAAAATGTCTGTGTGTCAGTTTGCGTCTCTAATATGTCTGTGTGTCAGTTGGCGTCCCTTATATGTCTGTGTGTCTGTTTGCGCCTTTAATATGTCTGTGTGTCAGTTGGCGTCCCTTATATGTCTGTGTGTCTGTTTGCGTCTCTAATATGTCTGTGTGTCTGTTGTTTCAGGCAGAATGTTGTATTACAGTAATTTGTAGTTTAGACATAATGTCGGACTACGCATATGTTGTTTCAGACAGAATGTTGTATTACAGTAATTTGTAGTTTAGACATAATGTCGGACTACGCATATGTTGTTTCAGACAGAATGTTGTATTACAGTGATTGTAGTTTAAACAGAATGTCGGACTACACATATGTTGTTTCAGACATAATGTTGTATTACAGTGATTGTAGTTTAGACATAATGTCGGACTACACATATGTTGTTTCAGACAGAATGTTGTATTACAGTGATTGTCGTTTAAACATAATGTCGGACTACACATATGTTGTTTCAGACATAATGTTGTATTACAGTGATTGTTGTTTAGACATAATGTCGGACTACACATATGTTGTTTCAGACAGAATGTTGTATTACAGTAATTTGTCGTTTAAACATAATGTCGGACTACACATATGTTGTTTCAGGCAGAATGTTGTATTACAGTAATTTGTAGTTTAGACATAATGTCGGACTACACATATGTTGTTTCAGACAGAATGTTGTATTACAGTGACTGTAGTTTAAACATAATGTCGGACTACACATATGTTGTTTCAGACAGAATGTTGTATTACAGTGATTGTAGTTTAGACATAATGTCGGACTACACATATGTTGTTTCAGACAGAATGTCGTATTACAGTGATTGTAGTTTAGACATAATGTCGGACTACGCATATGTTGTTTCAGACAGAATGTTGTATTACAGTGACTGTAGTTTAGACATAATGTCGGACTACGCATATGTTGTTTCAGACAGAATGTTGTATTACAGTGATTGTAGTTTAAACATAATGTCGGACTACGCATATGTTGTTTCAGACAGAATGTTGTATTACAGTGATTGTAGTTTAGACAGAATGTCAGGCAAACCAATATCCCAGGCTTCACAGATATTGGTTGAGAGAGAATGTCGGACTACTGAGTTGTTAGTTTAGACAGAATGTCAGACTTCACAGATATTGTCGTGGAGACAATGTCGAACTACTGAGATGTCAGTTTAGACAGAATGTCAGACTTCACAGATATTGGTTTAGAGAGAATGTCGGACTACTGAGGTGTTAGTTTAGACAGAATGTCTGGCTTCACAGATATTGGTTTAGAGAGAATGTCGGACTACTGTGGTGTTAGTTTCGACAGAATGTCAGGCTTCACGGATAATGGTTTAGAGAGAATGTCGGACTACTGAGGTGTTAGTTTAGACAGAATGTCAGACTTCACAGATATTGGTTTAGAGAGAATGTCGGACTACTGAGGTGTTAGTTTAGACAGAATGTCAGACTTCACAGATATTGGTTTAGAGAGAATGTCGGACTACTGAGGTGTTAGTTTAGACAGAATGTCAGGCTTCACAGATATTGGTTTAGAGAGAATGTCGGACTACTGAGTTGTTAGTTTAGACAAAATGTCAGACTTCACAGATATTGGTTTAGAGAGAATGTCGGACTACTGAGGTGTTAGTTTAGACAGAATGTCAGACTTCACAGATATTGGTTTAGAGAGAATGTCGGACTACTGAGGTGTTAGTTTAGACATAATGTCAGGCTTCACAGATATTGGTTTAGAGAGAATGTCGGACTACTGAGTTGTTAGTTTAGACAGAATGTCAGACTTCACAGATATTGTCGTGGAGACAATGTCGAACTACGTAGGTGTCAGTTTAGACAGAATGTCAGACTTCACAGATAATGGTTTAGAGAGAATGTCGGACTACTGAGGTGTTAGTTTAGACAGAATGTCAGACTTCACAGATATTGGTTTAGAGAGAATGTCGGACTACTGAGGTGTTAGTTTAGACAGAATGTCAGACTTCACAGATATTGGTTTAGAGAGAATGTCGGACTACTGAGGTGTTAGTTTCGACAGAATGTCAGGCTTCACAGATATTGGTTTAGAGAGAATGTCGGACTACGTAGGTGGTAGTTTAGACAGAATGTCTGGCTTCACAGATATTGGTTTAGAGAGAATGTTGGACTACTGAGATGTCAGTTTAGACAGAATGTAAAATGTTGAACAACCAAAGCTGAGTGTATCAACTTGCCATGCAGCAGAGCGTGGCTCGGCTACAGAGTGCATCCTCCATCTGGTACAGCAACGTAAACATTGGCCAACCCCATCGACGTCACACACTTCCGTGTCTGGAGCTCGCACCGACGGCATACACCGCTTAACGCGCGTAATGCTACACCATCTACAGGTCAGATTGCCATCTCCGAGCGATATTAGGTCAAAGGGCTACTTGTGTGGCTGATAGCAGTTTGACATGACCCCACATCCATGTGTATTAGAGTGAGTGAGTGAGTAAATGCTGCATCACTAGTGCAGCCACTGCAGCATGTGTAATAAAATGAAAAGAACTGCACGCTCATATTTCCTGTCATTAGAACCAGAGATCTATTTTATGGTCTCTGTTAGAACGCGCTGTTTGGTGATGAGGCTTAAACAGTTACCGCATAGTTATGAACGAAGCAAAGAGGAGAGTTGGAGATGTCTTACCTCCCATACTGATAGTAATACCTGGGGGTGACGAGTGACAGTAGAACAATTAGGCAATTTTACCGCCCGTTCATTCAAAGTAAAGTACCTTTAGTAAAACATATGTCAAATAAACACGCGAATCAATTAATATTTATGTTTGTGATATCGTTATAAACAGAAGCGTCATCTACTTGCAAATCTGTTTCACCACGCCGTTATTATGACATTGTTTAACATGTAAATATATATCCATTTAGCTCACATAGCACACTTCTTCAGCCTCCATCTGTTGGTCATTACTAGCTTCTGCGCAATACGCGGGGTGTTTCGTTGTGCCCTTAACCGCTTACATCAACAAAAACATGGCGACGGTAAAGTGTCCGGCATGAAGAGCCGGATGTAATGAGTAGCTTTATAAGGACAGAATGAAGCCGGACTTTACTTGACTCCGTCTTCGCCATGCTCATGCGGCCACTACTGTTTGTTTGTGTTTGGCTCTCATGTTTACCACAATCCGAACCTTCTGCTGTGTCCATCCAACTGGAAGAACTGATTAACACGAACGGGTTACCGAGCTGTCGGGTGTACCCAAGATCAGGCGCGTCCAATGACAGGACAGTGTGGCTCTTCCAGAGTGATTCGCTGTCGTTTGATTTTTGTCTGAAAAAGAATCATGAAGTGCTGGTTAGTGACGTCACGATGTCCAATGACGGCGGGAGAGACCGGATATCAGTGGACATCGACGGCGAGAAGGTCGGGGACGTCCTTTCCAGGGCTGGTTCCATGTACGGAATGTACTGGAATGTCTTCTCCAGATCCGGACCTGTTGGCGCGACGAGGACTCTGAGCTCTGGGCAACACACGCTGACTCTCACAGTTGAAGACGCAGATATACATGGGGTCGAATTAGACAATGTTCAACTCGGATTCGGGGGCAGTTTGACAGCAGACGACATCCGGTGTCAAAGGCCGCCAGCCCGGGACAGGAAACGTCCGGCAAGCGACCAGTGTCGATCTGAACTGACGGATCCCAACAGGCCTAAAAAAACAACGCCCAAAAAGTCAACAACACGAAAAACTGGTGAGTTGTCTTAAACTTTGTTTAGAATAAGATAGAAATTACCACCTCGCATCAAATACTTACAAGATTTTCCAAACATATTTTCACAGAAGAGGTGGGTTGCATATTGGATAAAATGGTTCCTCGTTACGCCAGAGGCCGGGGCTCGAATCATCATATGTGGAGCCCATTTCTGGTGACACTAGCTGTGATTAGTGGCATTAAAGCACACTAACCTACTCATTTTAAAAAGTGTTATGCTTCCATATCGTGTTTAAGACTGTGTGGTATAATGTAATACAACACCATACCGTGTTTAGTTCTGTTTGGTATGATGTAATACTACTACATACCGTGTTAAGTACTGTGTGGTATAATGTAATACCACTACATACCGTGTTTAAGAATGTTTGGTATAATGTAATACTACTACATACCGTGTTCAAGGCTGTTTATTATAATGTAATGCTACTACATACCGTGTTTAAGACTGTTTGGTATAATGTAATACTACTACATACCGTGTTTAAGAATGTTTCCTTTAATGTAATACTACTACATACCGTGTTTAAGGCTGTTTATTATAATGTAATACTACAACATACCGTGTTTAGTACTTTTTGGTATGGTGAATACTACTACATACCGTGTTAAGTACTGTTTGGTATAATGTAATACTACTACATACCGTGTTTAAGACTTTTGGTATAATGTAATACTACTACATACCGTGTTTGAAACTGTTTATTTTAATGTAATACTACTGCATACCGTGTTTAAGACTGTTTATTATAATGTAATACTACTACATACCGTGTTAAGTACTGTTTGGTATAATGTAATACTACAAAATACCTTGTTTACGACTGTATATTATAATTTAATACTTCTACATACCGCGCTTAAAGGCTGTGTGGTATAATGTAATACTACTGCATACCGTGTTTAAGGCTGTTTATTATAATGTAATACTACAACATACCGTGTTTAGTACTGTTTGGTATGATGTAATACTACTTCATACCGTGTTAAGTACTGTTTGGTATAATGTAATACTACTACATACCGTGTTTAAGACTTTTGGTATAATGTAATACTACTACATACCGTGTTTGAAACTGTTTATTTTAATGTAATACTACTACATACCGTGTTTAAGACTGTTTGGTATAATGTAATATTACAACATACCGTGTTTAGTTCTGTTTGGTAAAATGTAATACTACTACATACCGTGTTTAAGGCTGTTTATTATAATTTAATACTACTACATACCGTGTTTAAGACTGTTTATTATAATGTAATGCTACTACATACCGTGTTTAAGACTGATTATTATAATGTAATATTACAACATACCGTGTTTAGTTCTGTTTGGTAAAATGTAATACTACTACATACCGTGTTTAAGACTGTTTATTATAATGTAATACTACTACATACCGTGTTTAAGACTGTTTGGTATAATGTAATATTACAACATACCGTGTTTAGTTCTGTTTGGTAAAATGTAATACTACTACATACCGTGTTTAAGACTGTTTATTATAATGTAATACTACTACATACCGTGTTTAAGACTGTTTGGTATAATGTAATATTACAACATACCGTGTTTAGTTCTGTTTGGTAAAATGTAATACCACTACATACCATGTTTAAGACTGTTTATTATAATGTAATGCTACTACATACCGTGTTTAAGACTGTTTATTATAATGTAATGCTACTACATACCGTGTTTAAGACTGTTTATTATAATGTAATGCTACTACATACCGTGTTAAGTACTGTTTATTATAATGTAATGCTACTACAAACCGTGTTAAGTACTGTTTATTATAATGTAATGCTACTACATACCGTGTTTAAGACTGTTTGGTAAAATGTAATGCTACTACATACCGTGTTAAGTACTGTTTATTATAATGTAATGCTACTACATACCGTGTTAAGTACTGTTTATTATAATGTAATACTACTACATACCGTGTTAAGTACTGTTTATTATAATGTAATGCTACTACATACCGTGTTAAGTACTGTTTATTATAATGTAATACTACTACATACCGTGTTTAGTTCTGTTTGGTATAATGTAATACTACTACATACCGTGTTTAAGACTGTTTATGTAATATTACTACATACCGTGTTTAGTTCTGTTTGGTATAATGTAATACTACTACATACCGTGTTTAAGACTGTTAGGAATAAAGTGATACTACTACATACCGTGTTTAATACTGTTTGGAATAAAGCAATGCTACTACATTCCGCGCTTTAAGGCTGTGTGATATAATCTAATATAACTACATACCGTGTTTAAGACTGCTTATTATAATGTTATACTACTACATACCGTGTTTAAGACTGTTTGGTAAAATGTAATACTGCTACATACCGCAAAAGCCAGAGTGAGTTGTGTCATAACATCGATTGCTTTCACCAGACTTTCAATTACTTTATCTATACCATCTCGTATATCTATTCGAGATGGTTGGTCAGAAGATTCTAGTAAGCTGTATAACTTGTTTTTGGCTTTTGTAAAGGTTGACTTAACATTTGCCTTTTGTTGTTTTAGTTTCAAAATGTTCTCCAGTTTTAACAGAGATCCTTCTGTTTCTTGGGCCAGAGACTCATTGCTCTTTACAGAGCCTCCCTCCTCCAGATACAACATAATGAATTTGACTTACCTTTTGAAAAACAGGCTCTGCTACCATATGGGAATGGGGCACTTTTTATTCCCCGTTAAGTAAACAACAAGTCAAATATATCATGTCGGACATTTGAATTAGACTAAAGACAGAAACACAAACCTTCCTTGCCACACTGACCAAATCCCCCCACATGACACGCTTTCGCATACCCAACGAAAGTGAATAATTGACCACTCTCTATCACAAAGTGGCCTCAACCTCCCGACTATGGAAATTCATGATAATATTAGAAAATGCAACCTCCTGACTGGAGTTCTAAGGACGTCTTTGTCCCACACCGAAAAAATGTCAACTCATAAATGTTACTCCGTTCAACGTAGTGGTCTGTCACATCAGCATGACACACACGAGATATGCCCCCCAAAAGAACATGCGCAACGGGTGTGTTTGGGCGAGCACTTCCATGTTAATCAGGTGTATTTAAACGAGCTATACCTATATATATTGGTATAATGTAATACTTCTACCTAATCATGTTTAACACTGTTTGGAATAATGTAATACTTCTACCTACCATGTTTAAGACTGTTTGGTATTATGTAATACTGCTACATATCATGTTTAAGACTGTTTGGTATTATGTAATACTTCTACCTACCATGTTTAACACTGTTTGGTATTATGTAATACTTCTACCTATCATGTTTAAGACTGTTTGGTATTATGTAATACTGCTACATATCATGTTTAAGACTGTTTGGTATTATGTAATACTTCTACCTACCACGTTTAACACTGTTTGGTATTATGTAATACTTCTACCTACCATGTTTAAGACTGTTTGGTATTATGTAATACTGCTACATATCATGTTTAAGACTGTTTGGTTTAATGTAATACTTCTACCTGTCATATTAAAAGACTGTTTGGTGTCATGTAAATCTTCTACATATCATATTTAAGATTGTTTGGTATAATGTAATACTTCTTCATATCATATTCAAAACTGTTTGGTATGATAGAATGCAACTACATACCGTGTTTAAGATCGTATGATGTGATTTGGAACCGCTCATGTGTACGTTTCTTTGAAAGTCATAGTGTCAGGTCTTAAGTTCCTGACTATACCTGTGGGTGATGTCATTTTGAGATCAGTGTAACAGAATGTTTGTCCTGTTCCAGATCTAACAACACTTACATCAACCACTACAGCGACATCAGCCACTACAACGACATCAGCCACTACAACGACATCAGCCCCGACTACGTCTAAAACAACTTCGACAGCTGAAGACTTCAAATCAACAACGTCAATTACATTTCCGCCAATCATTGTCAAGGTTGATGTCTTCTATCCCATTCCCCCAGAGTCTTCAACAACATCAACATCAACACACACTCTGCGCGAAGAGCAAACAATTTCAGATTATACAGGAACAATAATGCCACCATCAGACACAACAGAAACAACACAATCTCCTTTGTCACAATCATCACATGCAACAGAACCGCCAGTGTCAGAATCTTCAGAGACAACAGGCTTAACCATTGCAGAATCTTCAGAAACAACTGCGACATTTTCAGACACAACGGAATCGCCTGTGTCAGAATCTTTGGATACAACAGGAGCGACAGTGTCAGAATCATTGAATACCACAGAAGCGACAGTGTCAGAATCTTCGGATACAACAGAACCATCAGTGTCAGAATCTTCAGATATAACAGGAGCGACAGTGTCCAAATCTTTGGATACAACAGAACCATCATTGTCAGAATCTTCAGATACAACAGAAGCGACAGTGTCAGAATCTTCAGTTACAACGGAAGCAACAGTGTCAGAATCTTCAAATACAACAGAACCTACAGTGTCAGAATCTTTGGAAACAACAGAAGTGACAGTGTCAGAATCTTCGGATACAACGGACACGACAGTGTCAGAATCTTCAGATAGAGCGGAAGCTACAGTGTCAGAATCTCTGGATACAACGGTAGGTACAGTGTCAGAATCTTCGGATGTTACAGAAGCCACAGTGTCAGAATCTTCGGATGTAACAGAAGGTACAGTGTCAGAATCTTCAGATACAACGGAAGCTACAGTTTCAGAATCTCTGGATACAACGGAAGCTACAGTTTCAGAATCTCTGGATACAACGGAAGGTACAGTGTCAGAATCTTTGGGTGTATCAGAATTGACAATGTCAGATTCTACGGAAACAACAGAAGCAACAGTGTCAGAATCTTCGGATGTAACAGAAGCAACAGTGTCAAAATCTTCGGAAACAACAGAAGCCACAGTGTCAGAATCTTCGGAAACAACAGAAGCGACAGTATCAGAATCTTCGGAAACAACAGAAGCTACAGTGTCAGAATCTCTGGAAACAACAGAAGCTACAGTGTCAGAATCTTCAGAAGCAACAGTGTCAGAATCTTCGGAAACAACAGAAGCCACAGTGTCAGAATCTTCGGAAATAACAGAAGCCACAGTGTCAGAATTTTCGGAGACAACAGAAGCGACAGTGTCAGAATCTTTGGATACAACGGAAGCAACAGTGTCAGAATCTTCGGATACAACAGAAACGACAGTGTCAGAATCTTCAGATAAAATAGAAACGACAGTGTCAGAAACTTCAGATACAACAGAAGGTACAGTGTCAGAATCTTCAGATACAACAGACGCGACATTGTCAGAATCTTCAGATACAACGGAAGCTACAGTGTCAGAATCTTCAGTTACAACAGACGCGACATTGTCAGAATCTTCAGATACAACGGAAGCGACAGTGTCAGAATCTTCAGTTACAACAGACGCGACATTGTCAGAATCTTCAGATACAACGGAAGCTACAGTGTCAGAATCTTCGGATACAACAGACGCGACATTGTCAGAATCTTCAGATACAACAGAACCTACAGTGTCAGAATCTTCAGATACAACAGACGCGACATTGTCAGAATCTTCAGATACAACGGAAGCTACAGTGTCAGAATCTTCGGATACAACAGAAGCCACAGTGTCAGGATCTCTGGATACAACAGAAGCCACAGTGTCAGAATCTTCGGAAAAAACAGAAGGTACAGTGTCAGAATCTTCGGAAACAACAGAAGCCACAGTGTCAGAATCTTCGGAAACAACAGAAGCCACAGTGTCAGAATCTTCGGAAACAACAGAAGCCACAGTGTCAGAATCTTCAGATACAACGGAAGCCACAGTGTCAGAATCTTCGGAAACAACAGAGATGACAGTGCCAGAGTCTTCAGAAACAACAGAACCTACAGTGTCAGAATCATTAGATACAAGAGAACCATCAGTGTCAGAATCTTCGGATGTAACGCAAATGAAAGTGTCAGAATCTTCGGGTGTAACAGAAACGACAGTTGCAGAATCTTCGGAAACAACAGAAGCCACAGTGTCAGAATCTCTGGAAACAACAGAAGCAACAGTGTCAGAATCCTCAGATACAACAGAAGCTACAGTGTCAGAATCTTCGGAAACAACAGAAGTGACAGCGTCAGAATCTTCGGAAACAACAGAAGCCACAGTGTCAGAATCGTCGGAAACAACAGAAGCCGAAGTGTCAGAATCTTCAGATAAAACAGAAACGACATTGTCAGAAACTTCAGATAATACAGAAGGTACAGTGTCAGAATCTTCAGATACAATGGACGCGACATTGTCAGAATCTTCAGATACAACGGAAGCCACAGTGTCAGAATCTTTGGAAACAACAGAGATGACAGTGCCAGAGTCTTCAGATACAACAGAACCTACAGTGTCAGAATCATTAGATACAAGAGAACCATCAGTGTCAGAATCTTCGGATGTAACGCAAATGAAAGTGTCAGAATCTTCGGGTGTAACAGAAACGACAGTTGCAGAATCTTCGGAAACAACAGAAGCCACAGTGTCAGAATCTCTGGAAACAACAGAAGCAACAGTGTCAGAATCCTCAGATACAACAGAAGCTACAGTGTCAGAATCTTCGGAAACAACAGAAGTGACAGCGTCAGAATCTTCGGAAACAACAGAAGCCACAGTGTCAGAATCGTCGGAAACAACAGAAGCCGAAGTGTCAGAATCTTCAGATAAAACAGAAACGACATTGTCAGAAACTTCAGATAATACAGAAGGTACAGTGTCAGAATCTTCAGATACAATGGACGCGACATTGTCAGAATCTTCAGATACAACGGAAGCCACAGTGTCAGAATCTTTTGATACAACAGAAGCAACAGTGTCAGAATCTTCGGATGTAAGAGAAACAGCTTTGTCAGAATCTTCGGAAACAACAGACGCCACAGTGTCAGAATCATCGGATACAATGGAAGTGACAGTTTCAGAATCTTCGGGTGTAACAGAAACGACAGTGTCAGAATCTTCGGAAACAACAGAAGCCACAGTGTCAAAATCATCGGATGCAACAGTAGCAACAGTGTCAGAATCTTCAGATACAACAGAAACGACAGTGTCAGAATCTTCGCATGTAACAGAAACGACAGTGTCAGAATCTTCGGATACAACAGAAGTGACAGTGTCAGAATCTTCGGATGACACAGAAGAGACATTGTCAGAATCTTTGGATACAATGGAAGCGACAGTGTCAGAATCTTTGGATACAATGGAAGCGACAGTGTCAGAATCTTTGGATACAACAGAAGCGACTGTGTCAGAATCTTCAGCTACAATGGAAGCGATAGTCTCAGAACCTTCAGATACAACAATAGCTACAGTGTCAGAGTCTTCAGATACAACAGAAGCGACAATGTCAGAATCGTCATATAGAACAGACGCCACAGTGTCAGAATCTTCGGATACAACAGAAGTGATATTGTCAGAATCTTCAGATACAACAGAAGCGACATTGTCAGAATCTTCAGATAGAACAAAAGCTACAGTGTCAGAATCTTCGGATGTAATAGAAACGACTTTGTCAGAATCATCAGATACAACAGAGCTGACAGTGTCAGAATCATCGGATAGAACAGAAGCCACAGTGTCAGAATCTTTGGAAACAACAGAAGCGACAGTGTTAGAATCTGTGGAAACAACAGAAGCGACAGTGTCAGAATCTTCGGATACAACAGAAGCGAGACTGACAGAATCTTCGGATACAACAGAAACGACAGTGTCAGAAAATTCTGATACAAGAGAAACGACAGCTTCAGAATCTTCAAATAAAAAAGAATTGCCTGTGTCAGATTCTTCAGATACAACAGAAGCGACAGTGTCAGAATCTTCAGATAGAACTGAAGCGACAGTATCAGAATCTTCAGATACAACAGACACTACATTGTCAGAATCTTCAGATACCATGGAAGCTACAGTGCCAGAATCTTCAGATACAACAGGAGCGACAATGTCAGAACCTTCGGATACAACAGAAACAACATCGTCAGAATCTTCAGATACAACGGAAGCGACAGTGTCAGAATCTTTGGATACAACAGAAACAACATCTTCAGAATCTCCAGATACAACGGAAGCGACAGTGTCAGAATCTTTGGATACAACAGATACAACATTGTCAGAATCTTCGGATACAACAGAAACAACAGTGCCAGAGTCTTCAGGTACAACAGAAGCGATAGTGTCAGAATCGTCGGATACAACAGAAGTGTCAGTGTCAGAATCGTCGGATACAACAGAAGCGACAGTGTCAGAATCCTGGGATAAAACAGGAGCGACAGTGTCAGAATCTTCAGATGCAACAGAAGCCACAGTGTCAGAATCTTCAGATACAACAAGAGCGACAGTGTCAGATTCCTGGGACACAACGAAAGCCACAATGTCAGGACTTTTGGATACAACAGAAGCGACGGTGTCAAAATTTTCGGATACAACAGAAGCGACAATGTCAGAATCTTCAGATACAACAAGAGCGACAGTGTCAGATTCCCGGGACACAACAGAAGGTACAGTGTCAGAATCTTCCGATGCAACAGAAGCGACAGTGTCAGAATCTTCAGATACAACAAGAGCGACAGTGTCAGATTCCTGGGACACAACGAAAGCCACAATGTCAGGACTTTTGGATACAACAGAAGCGACGGTGTCAAAATTTTCAGATACAACAGAAGCGACAATGTCAGAATCTTCAGATACAACAAGAGCGACAGTGTCAGATTCCCGGGACACAACAGAAGGTACAGTGTCAGAATCTTCCGATGCAACAGAAGCGACAGTGTCAGAATCTTCAGATACAACAGAAGCAACATTATCAGAATCTTCGGATACAACAGAAGCGACAGTGTCAGAATCTTCAGATACAACAGAAGCGACAGTGTCAGAATCTTCAGATACAACAGAAGCGACAGTGTCAGAATCTTCAGATACAACAGAAGCCACAGTGTCAGGATCTTCAGATACAACAGAAGCGACAGTGTCAGAATCTTCAGATACAACAGAAGCCACAGTGTCAGAATCTTTGGATACAACGGAAGCAACAGTGTCAGAATCTTCAGATACAACAGGAGCAACGTTGTTAGAATCTTCGGATGCAACAGAATCGCCTGTGTTAGAATCTTCGGATACAAGGGCATCAGTTGTGTCAGAATCTTCAGACACTACAGAAAGGACAGTGTTGGAATCTTCAGAGACGAAAGAAACGACGGTGTCAGAATCTTATAAAACCAAATCAGGTGTGTCCGAATCTTCAGATACAACAGAAAGGACAGTGTCCGAATCTTCAGATACAACAGAAAGGACAGTGTCAGAATCTTCAGATACAACTGAAATGACTACGCCACTGACAGATACAACCAAAACCATAGTGGCAGATGTTTCAGACGCAACAGAAACGGCTACGCTATTTTCATATGCTGCAGAAACGACCGCGTCAGAATCTTCAGATATGACGGAAACGACAAAAGCTACAGATGACAAAGAAACATCAACGTTCGCCATAGAAGCTACAGGTGATAAAGAAGATGAGACTTATACCCCTGGGATGCCAACAACAACCAAATATAACAGAATGACAGTTTATCCCCCTTTTGTCACACCCACACCCACATCCACATCCACACCCTCAACCACACCCACAACCACACCCACAACCACACCCACAGCCGCAACCAAAACAACTCTCAACGCAACACAAATACGACCAAAAACAACAACACAAAAAACAAAACCTACGCAAAATTCAAAACTAACACAAACACCGACACCCACACCCACACCCACATCCACATCCACACCCACACCCACACCCACACCCACACCCACACCCACACCCACACCGAAACCCACACCCACACCCACGCCAACGTCCCTCACGGAATCCGTGCCAAGAAACCCGACCCCTCCCCCTGGTGCCACCGAGTCTGTCATCCTGCGCTGCCCCCGACGCCAACGTATGATCCTAGAGCGGCGGTACGACTACATCTGCCGGAGAGGCTTGTCCCACTACAACATCATGTCCTATGACGTCAGAGAACTGACGTTCTCGACAACCCTCCCAGAGTTGACATCTCGCTGGTACAGACAGTACCGAGCCCCAGTTCACTACTCACTGAGTCTAGGATCCAACATGGGGCCTCTGTACGGCAACAGAAACCACGTTTCTATAAGGACATTCAGAGGCCGAGGGAAACAGATGGTTGTCCAGATAGGGCATATGCGTGTTGCATGCACGTCTATAGTATTCTATGCACCCGTCAGCAGATCCAGCCGCCCTAAGGCGAGATTCGTTCTTAGACAGGATGGACGGATGTACTTCTTTGCTTCCAGACCTTTGAGATCACAGCCGTGGTATTACATCCCGACTCTTCGCAAACATGGACCTTTAGAAGTGATGATCAGTTACGTTAATGTTGTGGTGCGGGGTTCTAGGTTCGAACTGTCGGTAAGAACGGCACAACGCAGAGTGACTCTGAATGTAGGTTTCCAAGGACGCGACACATCAATGACAATAAGGACACCGTATTCTGACGTGTACTCTGATAATGTGTTGTTGTCTCTTGTTTATCCGTGCTGGAACAGGCGGAGGAGGAGGAGCAAGGTGTATGTGACGACTGATGGTAGAGGCTACGTGTCCCTTTTTAATTGGTGGAGACGCCTGATTGGCAGGCAGGTTATCCTTGTGCAGGTTCTGCAGGACTAGTGTCCCAGAGTTGCTGTCCGTGAACACATTGTACAGAACTACCAGACACCTACCAGACACCTACCAGACACCTATTAGACACCTACAAGACACCTACCAGACACCTACCAGACACCTACCAGACACCTTCCAGACACCTACCAGACACCTACCAGACACCTACCAGAGGACTAATTGATTGTCCGAGAACTTCATCTGGTGAATAAATTTGTTTTGTGTGACTGGCTTGTTTTGCAGTGTCTAATACTCCGTTCATTTGCACATCTATACATAAGTTTGTATATTTACATGCGTGCGTAAATATATATTTGTGAAAATACTTGTCATGTGAACGCGTTTAATAATGTGCATATGTAAACTAAGAGCAAATTTGCATCATGCCTTGAGCAGGTGCAAATGTAATTGTAAATTTGCACTGTATGTATATGTTATAATGTGAGTATTTATGCCAACGCCAGAGGGCGATCTAATTAATATATCCGTTGATAGGCCTACACTAAACAAATGTTCACTAGCTTTGTATTGTGAAGTTGACGCTTTTCAGTTTACATCAATACCAACTATTATGCGGACGCCAGAGCTGGCTTCCTTGGGTTTCAAGGAGTAAAAACATTATCTACAGATAAAATCTCACACATGTTGCTTCATGCGAAGGTTTCTGTAAGGTAACTCTTTTCATTCGACTTTTATTGGAAAGCACCATTTTCATGTTTAAAGTCGTGAACAGACTGATGAATATGTGTGCCTTATTCCATGTGCATGGATCGATGCTCATGATGTCAATCACTGAATTGCGTGGTCCATATTCGATCTTTTACAGACCGCCGTCATATAGCTGGAATATTGCTGATTGCGGCGTTAAACAACAAACCAACCAACATTTGATTGACAGGGCCATACTACAAGCTCGTTGTTGAATGGCTTACTCCTGATTCACTCGTAATTCCATTCAACAATTCCATTGGTTGTTTGTTTGTTTGTTGTTAGCTTCTACATCCCACCTGCTTCAGTAGCATCACCCTTGTATTGAGTGAAGGTAAGAGGTAAATACCTGTAAATAGTCACATATGGTGCAGAGAATAGACAACTAATTTAAACTGTTTAAGGACCAGTCTTGGAACAGTGCCCCAAACATATCACTGGCATAACGCTCATCCCTCCACCCCGAGCCCCATCCCTAGAATCAGATTAACTCAATGTACGTTATCCTATGGTCGTGGGTCATCAAAATGGCAATACTCTGGATTTTCCCCCACATCCAAGAGACCCCCATGATGAGTGAGTGAGTACTGTACTGTGAGTGAGTCTGATTTTACTCTGCTTTTAGCAATATTCCAAAATATCACGGCGTGGGACACCAGAAATGGGCTTCACACATTGTGGCCATGTGGGAAACATTAACTTGATGTTTTATTCCCATGGTATTGTGTTACCAGAAGCAGCCGTTATTGCTCTGTGGCTCTGTGTCAATCTATGCAGGTACCAGCTGATTGTGTGTTCGAATCCCCGATTACCACCCTTGGTGTACCTGCACCAGGCCGACTTATATAACTGTACTAGTTGCTTCAGCAGCTGACATCACTCCAGGAACAATATTCGTAAACAAGGTTGAAATAATTGGATAAGGAAAACGGGACATTGGCTTTGTGAATTAAACAATTTTATTTCAGTTGTCAGAAAAGACGTATTCGATTATTCTTGACCTAATGACTCATTTTAAAATGGAATACTACAATGGTTTGTGAGAATTACACAGAACAGTTTCATAACTTGACTCGGTGGTCACCATTCAGTGCATCGTGCGGTGCATCAAGTGGCATTTTACTTCTTAGGGAGATCTGTCTGCGACACATCTACATTCTGGGAGATCCCATAGTTGAAATCAACGTGTCCCTTCACCAGCCAAGTTACTGATTTCTTGTCAGTTTTGACACTGCCTGAACTGTCATTGACAGATACGCCGCATTTTGGCAAACGATCTCCGAGGAGGGTGCCAATTTTATTTTGGATCATTTTTACAAACTCCCCATCTCTTGAGATCCTGACCTTCACCTTTCCTGTCAAGGTGACCCAAACCCGGAAGTCACTTTTAAATGTTTCCTCCTTGACCTCGAGCCTCGCTATGGTTCTAGCCTTCTTGGGGGCCAACACCGTGGTGTCGACAGACCAAGACAATTCCTTCTCCACGGTGTGGGTGGTCTTCGAGCTGATGACCATTTCGCGTCCAAATCCGGCGGTTGCCTTGGCGACAGGTTCTGGAATACCGATGGTGAATCCGACATCATTGCCGCTCGTGAAGCCTTGGCTCAACTGTACCTCGGCCGTGGCATGAGTGACCTTCTGGGCAGTGAACCGATGGTGTTGGTCATGATTCATTCGGTTGTCAAAGTTAGACGTGAAGACAAGTTGTGTGGGGGCCTCAACAGGCCCGATTTGGCTTTTCTGGAGGTATTTCAGGCCGCTCGTAGTACACACAACCTCATCGAAGAGAACCTCGAGGTCCGCGTCATTGAAGTCTATTTGTTCATCTTCATCTGTTGTAGCGACATAGGTTTCCCAACCAAATGTCTGTATAGGCTCCAGAATATCGGTCAGTTTGTCCTTGCTCATCCTGGAACAGAAACGTGCATATACTGCAGATAATGTGACTGTTAACCTTCTAGCGCCTCACAAGCAGCTTGCGTTGTATTGTCCGAAGGGAGCTGAGAATGGCAAACAGGTGCAGACTGAACCATTGACAGGGGTAGTCATTTAACGCTTTGGAAATGCTTTAGGGTGTGGCTTCTAAATTATTATTATTATTATTATGATTATTGAATATGAGCAACGATCCGAGACATACTTCTAACCAGCCCACGGCACGACCAGCATAGGTTGCTGGGGGCATAGGTCTAATCCGGGTTCCCAACGGCACGACCAGCATAGGGCATCGATCCACTCCATTGGGATACGATGACATGCATCAACCAAATCAGCGAGCCTGACCGTTTGTCGCCTCTTTTACGGAACGTTTGGGTTGCTGAAGACCTATTCTACCCCGGTTTTTCATGGGTCGTAAAACAGCAATGCAATATACAGCAATATAGAATATACAGAACATATAATGAGTGAGTGAGTGAGTGAGTGAGTGAGTATGGTTTTAAGCCGCTTTTAGCAATACTCCAGTAATATCACGGCGGGTGACACCAGAAATCGGCTTCACACCCATGTGGGGAATCGAACCCGGGTCTTCGGCGTGATGAGCGAACGCTTTAACCACTTGGCTAGAACATGTGATGAAGCTGGGATGATGTACGTGGGCTGTCTAGACAATATCAGTCCTGTTTCAAGCACGATGTGTCTTAAGCCCAACACGTCGGTTTAACACACCTGCTTGGGCACGGGTGGCCCAGTCGTCTAAGGCGCCGCGATTCGCTGTGCAGAGTTGCGTCCCTTGGGTACGCCAGAAACCTATGATTGTGGGTTCGAATCCAGGTTCACCCCGATTATGTGTCTAGGTTTGTCAGCACCATACCCGTGCTCGTGGGTTTCACCGAAGTGGTAAACGTCTGAGACCTGCATCACTTCGGGCTTTCCTCCCACATTAAGCTGACACACCGTGATATGACTGGAATACAGTTTAAAGCGGCGTTAAACCCAACTCACTCACACTAACACACCTGCAAAAGTTAAACGTACCTGGTGGGCTGTGTGTAGCGTCGTGAAGAAGAACCAGTATCTCCGGGACGAAGCAGCAATGTGAGCACTACAAGGAAGGGAACCACTTATATAGGGGTGTTCTGGGGAAACCCGGGACTTTCGATATTTTTGCGAGGCCAAGTCAGTGTTATTTATAGGCATATTTTGCAGTGACCAGCTCTTCCATTGACAGCTCATGACCTGCCGCGCACTAGCTGGTTTGAGAACACTGGCGCACTTGTCGTCTAAATATACTGACAAGTCGCTTGCTGTCTGTATAGGTATTGGGGCGGTGTGGTAGTTGGAGGGTTTAATCCCTAGCCAAGTTCGACCGCTCTCCTGGACACATGGTGTTAAAGTGAGTGTGTGGAGTGGTGGGGGACACCAGAAATGGGGAATCGATCCCGGGTCTTCAGCGTGACGAGCGAACGCTTTAGCCACCGCCCAACATAATGTTCTTACTCACCTCACCTTACCATTTCACCTCACTCACTCACTCGCCATTTCACCTCACTCGCTCACTGACTTACGATTTCATCTCACTCTCTCACCATTCCATCTCACTCACTCACCCACTATTTCACCTCACTCACTCACTCACTCACCATTTCACCTCACTCACTCACTCACTCACTCACCATTTCACCTCACTCACTCACTCACTCATCCCTTCAGTTCATCTCACTCACTCACTGACCTCACCATTTCATCTCACTCACTCACTCGCCTTTTCACCTCACTCGCTCACTGACTTACCATTTCATCTCACTCTCTCACCATTCCATCTCACTCACTCACCCACTATTTCACCTCACTCACTCACTCACTCACTCACCATTTCACCTCACTCACTCACTCACTCACCATTTCACCTCACTCACTCACTCACTCATCCCTTCAGTTCATCTCACTCACTCCCTCACCTCTTCATTTCATCTCACTCACTCACTGACCACACCTTCATCTCATTCCCTCACTCACTCACCTCTTCTTTTCACCTCGGTCACTCACCCACCATTTCACCTCACTCACTCACTGACTTACCATTTCATCTTACTCACTTACTCACCACTTCAACTCACTCACCATTTCATCCCACTCACTCACCTCACCTCTTCATTTCATCTCACTTACTCACTCACTCACTCACTCACCTCACCTCACATTTCACCTCACTCACTCACCATTTCACCTAACTCACCACCTCACCTCTTCATTTCATCTCACTCACTGACCTCACCATTTCATCTCATTCACTCTCTGACCTCTCCATTTCATCTCCTCACTCACTCTCTCATCTCTTCATTTCATCTCACTCACTAACCCACTCACCTCACTATTTCATCACATTCACAAACTCACTCACTCACTCGCCTCTTCATTTCATCTAACTCACTGACCTCACCATTTCATCTCATTCACTCACTCACCATTTTATCTCACTCACCTTACTATTTCACCTCACTCACCTCATTTCATCTCACTCACTTACTCACCACTTCACCTCACTCACCATTTCATCCCACTCACTCACTCACTCACTCACCTCACCTCACCATTTCACCTCACTCACTCACCATTTCACCTAACTCACCACCTCACCTCTTCATTTCATCTCACTCACTGACCTCACCATTTCATCTCATTCACTCTCTGACCTCTCCATTTCATCTCCTCACTCACTCTCTCATCTCTTCATTTCATCTCACTCACTAACCCACTCACCTCACTATTTCATCACATTCACAAACTCACTCACTCACTCGCCTCTTCATTTCATCTAACTCACTGACCTCACCATTTCATCTCATTCACTCACTCACCATTTTATCTCACTCACCTTACTATTTCACCTCACTCACTCACTCACCTCATTTCATCTCACTCACTTACTCACCACTTCACCTCACTCACCATTTCATCCCACTCACTCACTCACTCACTCACCTCACCTCACCATTTCACCTCACTCACTCACCATTTCACCTAACTCACCATTTCAGCTCACTCACCCCTCACCTCTTCAATTCACCTCAATCACTGACCTCACCATTTCATCTCATTCACTCTCTGACCTCTCCATTTCATCTCACTCACTCACTCTCTCATCTCTTCATTTCATCTCACTCACTAATCCACTCACCTCACCATTTCATCACACTCACTCACTCACTCACTCACTCGCCTCTTCATTTCATCTCACTCACTGTCCTCACCATTTCATCTCACTCACTCACTCACTCACTCACCATTTCATCTCACTTACTCACCTTACTATTTCGGCTCACTCACTCACTCACCTCATTTCATCTCACTCACTGACCCACCATTTCATCTCACTCACTCACTCACTCACTCACTCACTCACTCACCATTTCATCTCACTCACTCACCTTACTATTTCGGCTCACTCACTCACTCACCTCATTTCATCTCACTCACTGACCCACCATTTCATCTCACTCACTCACTCACTCACTCACTCACTCACTCACTCACTCACTCACTCACTCACTCACCACTTCACCTCACTCACTCACTCACTCATCCCTTCATTTCATCTCACTCACTCACTGACCTCACCATTTCATCTCACTCACTCACTCACTCACTCACTCACTCACCTCTTCTTTTCACCTCGGTCACTCACTCACCATTTCACCTCACTCACTCACTCACTCACTGACTTACCAATCAGCTCACTCACTTACTCACCACTTCACCTCACTCGCTCACCATTTCATCCCACTCAGTCACCTCACCTCTTCATTTCATCTCACTCACTCACTCAATCACCTCACCATTTCACCTCACTCACTCGCCACTTCACCCCACTCACTTACCATTTCACCCCACTCACTCACCATTTCACCTCACTCACTCACTCACTCACTGACTTACCAATTAGCTCACTCACTTACTCACCACTTCACCTCACCATTTCACCTCACTCACCACCTCACCTCTTCACTTCATCTCACGCACTCACCTCTTCAATATCATCTCACTCACTCACCTCACCATTTCATCTCACTCACTCACTGACCTCACCATTTCACCCCTCACCACCTCACCTCTTTATTTCATTTCACGCACTCACCTCTTCAATATCATCTCACTCACTCACCTCACCATTTCATCTCATTCACTCGCCACTTCACCCCACTCACTCACCATTTCACCTCACTCACTCACTCACTGACTGACTTACCAATCAGCTCACTCACTTACTCACCACTTCACCTCACCATTTCACCTCACTCACCACCTCACCTCTTCACTTCATCTCACGCACTCACCTCTTCAATATCATCTCACTCACTCACCTCACCATTTCATCTCACTCACTCACTGACCTCACCATTTCACCCCTCACCACCTCACCTCTTTATTTCATTTCACGCACTCACCTCTTCAATATCATCTCACTCACTCACCTCACCATTTCATCTCATTCACTCACTGACCTCACCATTTCACCTCACTCACCACCTCACCTCTTCATTTCATTTTACGCACTCACCTCTTCATTTCATCTCACTCACTCACCTCACTATTTCACCTCACTCACCCCTTCATTTCATCACACTCACTCACTTATCTCTTCATATTCATCTCACTCACTCACCCACTCACCTCACCATTTCATCACACTCACTCACTCACTCGCCTCTTCATTTCATCTCACTCACTCACCCACTCACCTCACCATTTCATCTCACTGACACACTCACCTCACCTCACAATTTCACCTCACTCACTCACTCACCTCACCATTTCACCTCACTCACTCACTCACGCTGAATCTCCACTAGTCCTGGTTCTACACATCCATGAGAAACAAACCGGAAATGTTTATTCGATGGTGATGTATTTTACACAGGTATCCTCCATTGTGTTTCGGCGACTGTTCTCAGCCTACTGTCGTTTTCATAACCTTGGTAGACTGAAGGTCTTTTAGTAACTTAAAGCCCTATTGTCAAGTGTATAATTTCTTTTGTCAAGCATGTATATGATTTAATTATAGTTACATTTGTTTGCTTGGTTGTTGTTTAGGGCCGCTCTCAGCAAAATTCCAGCTATATGACGGCGGTTAATAATCGAGTCTGGACCAGACAATCCTACGACTGATATCATGAGCATCGATCCATGCAATCGGGATAAGATGACATGCATCAACCAAGTCAGCGAGCCTGCCTACCCGATCCCGTTAGTTGGGTTGCTGAAGACCTGTTCTACCCCGGATCTTCACAGGTTAATTATAGTTACAGAATCAGTATACTATTATCAGTAGTTATATTGTATCAGTGCTTAATACGAGTTTCATGTAAAATGTCACTTTGACGAAAGTACGACGCACGGGTTAGGTGCTGACATACCAAGAACGATAATCAGGGAGAACATTATTATTGAACAGCATTCATTCAATGACGGTATAACAGTACCGTTGTGATGGCTCCATGCTCTATTGATCTACCTCGATCATTCAACACAGCAATAATGATCTGGGAGTTATTTCGTCAGTTTCTAGGGCGTACATACAGCTTGATGTGGGCCGATACTAGTGGAATGTGACATGTAACTAGTTGTGTGAGTAACGAGTTGAACTTTGAATTGTCCAGGTATAGAATGTAAGATGTATGGAAGGGCATAATGTCTACTGCATGAACAGCGAGCGCCTTAACCACGGTAATCCGACTATGTGTAATATCAGCTCTTGATAGTCCATAGCTAATATGTTCAAGCTGGTTGATGCGGTTTGTCCACCTGCTGGGGTGGCACTGATCGAACGTCACGGGTCATGACATGGAGCCAAGCTCCATTGCATGGAGTGAGTGAGGGAGTTCCCCTCTTACAACAACATAACACAACCAATGTAAGTAGTTCAACATTTATTGAAAGATTATACTTCTTTAAAAACGAAAAAAAAGACACAAGGCAAGTGAAGGTAAATATCTCCTCAGACACATGCTTCACATGTCTTCCTTGGGACTGCATGTCTGACAATGGCGTTCTTAACAGTACGTACATTATTGTAATCACATGAAGAAGATATGACATTACTAGCTTGAACTGACAAAGGTCAAAGTTCTAGCACGGCTACTGTGTTGGCAATTTAACGCTCTTCACCTTGACGTCCTGAGACACTCCGAACTTGAACCGCAGTCCACCGGCGACCTTCCAGGTGACCTTTCTTCCCTGGATGGACACCATACCATCATTCCGTGCTGCCGCGTCACTGAGCTCATCCATCAGGATAGTGGCAATGTCGCCCTCAACCACCTGCGTGGAGCCGCCGTTGTTGACCCTGACGAAGACACGACCGCGGATGTTGACCTCTGCTTCAAATGTGCAGTGATGTTCAATCTCCGTGATACGCAGTTCAGCAATGGTTCTCTTTTTCGGCTGAGCCTTCACCGTGGAGTTAAGCCCCCAGGAGACGGCGTGCTTCACCGTGCTCTGGTCCTCACTGGCGACGACGATGTCGCCACCGAAGCCGCCGGTCATGTCAGAGACAACCTGAGGGACGTCAATGTGGATGCCGACGTTTCCGTTCTTTGAGAAGCCCTTTGTGACAAATGTCTTTACCGTGGCCTCCGTCGTCCGGTCCATCTGGAAGGTGTGGTTCTGGACTTCGTCGGTGTTGTTGTCGTAGTTGGAGGTGAAGACGATCTGAGATCTCGGTGTACCACCCCCCTGCTGTTGATGGACAGGGGTGGTAAAAGTTGTCTTGACAGTCGACTGCCTCACCTTGCTCCAGTCGATCTCCATGGGGATGTTTTCACTGGGGCCATGTGTGTTACCCACTGTGCGGGCCTGGCGTCCGGCCCACTCTCTGATAACAGCATCAAAGTCGGTCATTCCCATGTTGTATCTTAAACAGAAAGGACATCATGGATATGCGATAATACTGAGTGTTTGAAACTATTGCTTACATCAGTGAAACCCCGTTAATCCGAACGGTAATGTTTCCTGTGAATGTCCGGTTTAACGAACCATAAGTATGTCTTGTTCCTTGTGTGTAAACACAGTAACTACGATCTTAAAAATAGTTTTCTTAATATGCACAGTTATGCACAGTTGGTTGGGTGCGGTGGGGATGGGCTATGGGCTATGGGCGAGGGCTGTGGGGTTGGGCAAATACTGGGGCTACAGGCGAGGGCTGCAGGGGTGGGGCTACAGGCGAGGTGCGAGGGCCGTGGGGTGGGACTACAGGCGAGGGGCGAGGGTAGTAGGTTGGGGCTACAGACGAGGGGCGAGGGGTGGGACTACAGGCGAGGGGCGAGGGTAGTAGGGTGGGGCTACAGGCGAGGACCGTGGGATGGGACTACAGTCGAGGGGCGAGGGTAGTATGGTGGGGCTACAGGCGAGGGCTGTAGATGAGGCTAGAGGCGTGGGGCGAGGGTTGTGGGTCGGGGCTACAGGCGAGGGACGAGGGCTGTGGGGTGGGGCTAACGGCGAGGGCTGTGGGTGAGGCTAGAGGCGTGGGACGAGGGCTGTGGGTCGGGGCTACAGGCGAGGGACGAGGGCTGTGGGGTGGGGCTAACGGCGAGGGCTGTAGATGAGGCTAGAGGCGTGGGGCGAGGGTTGTGGGTCGGGGCTACAGGCGAGGGACGAGGGCTGTGGGGTGGGGCTAACGGCGAGGGCTGTGGGTGAGGCTAGAGGCGTGGGGCGAGGGTTGTGGGTCGGGGCTACAGGCGAGGGACGAGGGCTGTGGGGTGGGGCTAACGGCGAGGGCTGTGGGTGAGGCTAGAGGCGTGGGACGAGGGCTGTGAGGTTGGGCTACGGGCGAGATGCGAGGGCTGCGGGATGGGGCTACAGGCGAGGGACGAGGTCCGTGGGGTGGGGCTACAGGGACGGGGCTACAGGCGAGGGGCGAGGGCTGTGGGATGGGGCTAGAGGCGAGGGACGAGGTCCGTGGGGTGGGGCTACAGGCGAGGGACGAGGTCCGTGGGGTGGGGCTACAGGCGAGGGGCGAGGGCTGTTGGGTGGGGCTACAGGCGAGGGGCGAGGGCTGTGGGGTGGGGCTAAAGGGATGAGGCTACAAGCGAGGGGCGAGAGCTGCCGGGCGAGGGCTGTGGGGTGGGGCTTCAGGCGAGGGGCGAGGGCTGCCGGGCGAGGGCTGTGGAGTGTGCTATTTAAAAGTTACACAACAAGGGCTCTCTTAGCACAAATATGAGGTGCTGAGTTAGAGTCTACGTCTCAAGGAGCGAAAACAAACAAAAAGTGTGAAATCAAACATATATAAAGAGTCTAGTTAATTAATTAATTGCCATATAAATACAATCATATATTACTACATATAAAATACAATTTAAAGTTTAAAAAAAAATAAAAGTTAAATTTCAACTGTTATTGGTACCCATAGTTTGTGTGAAGTTTCACGTCAAACTGAAATACGCCCGATGACAACACATATGTCATCAGTCAATAAATCAATTCCTGCACCAGGCTTGTACCCACGTTCCCTCCACAAGAACGCGTCACAGTGGCATGTATACATTTAACAGAGAACTATCTGTCCCAAATAGATCTACCCTGAGTGTAATGATGTCCACGTTCCCTCCACAAGAACGCGTCACAGTGGCATGTATACATTTAACAGAGAACTATCTGTCCCAAATAGATCTACCCTGAGTGTAATGATGTCCACGTTCCCTCCACAAGAACGCGTCACAGTGGCATGTATACATTTAACAGAGAACTATCTGTCCCAAATAGATCTACCCTGAGTGTAATGATGTCCACGTTCCCTCCACAAGAACGCGTCACAGTGGCATGTATACATTTAACAGAGAACTATCTGTCCCAAATAGATCTACCCTGAGTGTAATGATGTCCACGTTCCCTCCACAAGAACGCGTCACAGTGGCATGTATACATTTAACAGAGAACTATCTGTCCCAAATAGATCTACCCTGAGTGTAATGATGTCCACGTTCCCTCCACAAGAACGCGTCACAGTGGCATGTATACATTTAACAGAGAACTATCTGTCCCAAATAGATCTACCCTGAGTGTAATGATGTCCACGTTCCCTCCACAAGAACGCGTCACAGTGGCATGTATACATTTAACAGAGAACTATCTGTCCCAAATAGATCTACCCTGAGTGTAATGATGTCCACGTTCCCTCCACAAGAACGCGTCACAGTGGCATGTATACATTTAACAGAGAACTATCTGTCCCAAATAGATCTACCCTGAGTGTAATGATGTCCACGTTCCCTCCACAAGAACACGTCACAGTGGCATGTGTACATTTAACAGAGAACTATCTGTCCCAAATAGATCTACCCTGAGTGTAATGATGTCCACGTACCACATTCACGGCTGTAGTTACCACGATCTGTACACCTGTGACCAATCTGCATGAAACAAACAAGGGACTGGCACTTACCTAGTTTTGTGAGTCAAAATATGCAGTGCCTCCAAGTACTGGTTATACAACTTTGTGAAATACCGAGCCAATTCGACTTATATATACCCTCTGCTGTTTAATGTTAAAATTAAACATGACTCGGTGTGTCTTTGATTATTGTATTAGTAACGGCTTCATCCAATAGGTGTCACGTAAAATATTGAAAGTTTGGGAATAACCAGAAATGTCGGAGGCTTTTGTTCAAAGAATATGCGAAGTACCTCCAAAGGGGTGGAGCTTCGTGGTGGGCGTGGCATATTAGGAGTCGGCTTGTTCCACGATCACTGCTGCAAATGACATGGTTCTATTTATAGCCAGTGTGAGTTGCGCATAACAAAACATTGTACCCAAAGGTTGTCTAATAACATAATAGCCCATCACAACTGCATGTTATCAATGATTATGTCGAAAAGGATTATCAATTTTACATCATAAACATCATTCCGAAATCAACATTAAATTTTAATTACATTTTTTAATGTTATCTTAGGTCAAGGATTTTGTCAACTCAATAATGGCAATATATTTACACATATAATTGATGATTTATGTACAGTGAACGCCCGTGAATCCGGAAACCTCGTTATATATGGTGATGGGGAGCTACTCCAGGGGTTGTTGTGTTCGGAAACAGAAAGTGTTTATTCAGCAAGAGTATTGCTTTACGCCGCTTTTAGCGATATTCCAGCAATTTCACAGCGGGGGACACTAGAAATGGTGGGGAATCGAACCCGGGTCTACGGCGTGACGAGCGAACGCTTAACTAACTAGGCTATCCCACCGCCCCTTAGTCAGTTAGAAAGGTCACTGGCTTAGAGCTCATAAAGCCTCAAAATATTACAATAATAACTTAACTTTATATTTTTTTCTTGAAATTTTATTTTTGTGGTCACTCGCAGATCACAGAGTATTATATGCCGCAATCAGCCACTATACCACAGCGAGTGATTGTTATATGCGTCGTATTTACACAGCGGATGACACGTTAAACACTAAACAACATTCCAGAATCAATGAACATTCCAGATGAAGTTGCGATAGATCATAGCTGCAGTTAACGACCTCCACATGGACAAATTGTTTTACACCACGCATGTCAAACTGTCACCAGCCATCACGTGATGTGGCGCGAAGTATGCCGCTCTCGGAGACAGAAATACCCACAGGTATTGTAGCATTCTCTCTCTTTCACTCATTTCTCCGACCAAAGAGGTCACTCTGACGTCACAGCCACTCTATTTATGTGCCGAGATTTAGGTATGATTATGAACTTTTATTATAAAGTGAAAAAAAATCAGATTTTGTTACCGACACCACCGTTGTTACATCGTTTCTTTTCGCGTGTGTTGCGAACTCCCGTTAAACCGAACACTGTTGCTTAGACCACGTGTGTTGCTCATACATGGTGAACCCCCGCTAAACCGGACACCTCTGTCTTTACATGACGGGTGTTACACAGGCACATTGAAGCCCCGTTAAACTGAACACTGTTGCTCACACCACGTGTGTTTCTCATATATAGTGAACCCCCTTTAAACCGGACGGTTGTTTGCCTCGTCAAGTCGTCCCGATTTACGAATTACAACTTCGTACTAAATAAACATGACGTGGTAATACATTGTATAGCACATATAAGCTTGTATAAGAAGTCCTATGAACAGGTTTCTGGAATACCGAGGTCCAGACGGGCGGACTTTCAGTGTGTGGTCAGTGTGTGGTCAGTGTGTGGTCAGTGTGGATGAACGATGCCCATTTGGAGTCAAGCTGCTGAGAATGTAATCACCCCTCGTCAATAAAGATGTACTTATCGTGCGTTGTCTTATCTTACTGTTTGAATATCATATTACGGAAGAGTTGATGCTTAGACATATTTTTTGTGTAATTAGGTACACCATTCCTGTCAGTACTGAACACACTCTATGACCTTTTAATGACAACATTGCAATACATTTCACAATCAAATGTCCAGGTGACGTGGCGCCATGTTTATCGGGGCCAAGAAATGCCCAGCCTCGTAATTATAGCTTGTCTCGAACATTCAGCGGCGGGATCAGCAGAACAGCAACAGAATACAAGTGGACGGTGGTTACATCAATTGTGTACCCACAACGATATATACTGTGATCTTCTAAATAGATATGTGCCCACAACGATATATACTGTGATCTTGTAAATAGATATGTGCCCACAACGATGTATACTGTGATCTTGTAAAAAGATATGTGCCCACAACGATATATACTGTGATCTTGTTAATAGATATGTGCCCACAACGATATATACTGTGATCTTCTAAATAGATATGTGCCCACAACGATATATACTGTGATCTTGTAAATAGATATGTGCCCACAACGATATATACTGTGATCTTGTAAATAGATATGTGCCCACAACGATATATACTGTGATCTTGTTAATAGATATATGCCCACAACGATATATACTGTGATCTTGTAAATAGATATGTGCCCACAACGATATATACTGTGATCTTGTAAATAGATATGTGCCCACAACGATGTATACTGTGATCTTGTAAAAAGATATGTGCCCACAACGATATATACTGTGATCATATAAATAGATACGTGTTTACAACGATATATACTATGATCTTGTAAATAGATATGTGCTCACAACGATATACTGTGATCTTGTAAATAGATATGTGCTCGAAACGATATACTGTGATCTTGTAAATAGATATGTGCCCACAACGATATATACTGTGATCTTGTAAATAGATACGTGCCCACAACGATATATATACAATGATATTGAAACAAGGTAAGGTTTGCTGTACATGCCAATGCCGAACTTCGACTACAGCTCATAGTATGTCCCTTGCGTTCGTAATATCCGTAGTCAAACAGTCTAACATTGAAATATGGAGTGGCCTTTTTGTGGAAAATGTGTGATTCCAGGGGTCACTAGAGAGTGGTCACTTTGTGGTCACTTTGTGGTCACTATGTGTACTGTGGGTCATTCCCCATACTGTCACTCTTGACCAGATAGTTCCTTAGCCGCAGCAGTATGGGGGATTAGGGTTGGATACGGCGTGCAACAACATGCACTCATTACACTGACGTAATACAGTAGTCGTTCCAACACAGCTTGACAGTGAGCGAAGGTTCGGTTTAATAATTCAAACTGATTTACCACCTACATCATTGTAAATATAGTTTTGTGCTGTTAATCACATGTGAAACTATTACTAATAGTCTGGAAGAGCCAGAGGTCCGAATACAATGCCTAGCTACCTGTGAACATCCAGGGTAGTCTTCAGCAACCCATGCTTTGATTGGTTTGTTTGTTGTTTAACGCCGCACTCAGAAATATTCCAGCTATTTGACGGCGGTCTGTCAATAATCGAGTCTGGACCCAGTGAGTGACATCATCAGCATAGATCAATGTGATTGGGATACGATGTCGTGCACCAGAGGCGTGTATTACAGGCTGTGGGTTTATAACAACAAAACTTTAGGAAGAAATCAATCAACTTGTTATCATGTATGTGTGGTTCCATATATTATTATAGTTGTCTTTATATTACTATAATTGCGAGTGTTTACATTCTATCGTCCAAAATAACAAACAAGATTTATTAATATAATCATCGAATGTTTACCGTTTGCTCTTACGACAAGCATGGGTTGCTGAAGACCTGTTCTACTCCGGATCTTCACAGGTTAATTATAGTTACAGAATCAGTATACTATTATCAGTAGTTATATTGTATCAGTGCTTAATACGAGTATCATGTAAAATGTCACTTTGACGAAAGTACGACGCACGGGTTTGGTGCTGACATACCAAGGACGATAATCAGCGAGAATATTTGAATTTCGATGAAACAATCATCTGGACAGCATATTACCACGCCTTAAAAGATGAAATGCACGCCACCATCCGTTTAAACGGCATTAATACATGCTTATCTCTTGTAGAATGTATAACAGTATATATCTGGAAAGAAGAGAAGAAACTCCGGGTGTCAATGAAGATCATTTACAGGCAGTTTGTTATTTCAGCGCCTAACAGGCAAATGCAAGGCAACGCATGGCAATACGTCAACACACGGACATCACGTGGTGACATTAAAAACTGTGAATCGGGAGCTTCGAATCGCGTGCATATAATTGTTAAACCGGCAACGGAATGGCAGACAAACGAAATCACACCACGACATGTACACAGCATCTTCAGAAGGCGAACAGCCTTGCTATTCGTATTATTATTGAACAGCATTCATTCAATGACGTTATAACAGTACCGTCGTGATGGCTCCATGCTCTATTGATCTACCTCGATCATTCAACACAGCAATAATGATCTGGGAGTTATTTCGTCAGTTTCCAGGGCGTACATACAGGTTGATGTGGGCCGATACTAGTGGAATGTGACATGTTACTAGTTTTGTGTGTGACGAGTTGAACTTTGAATTGTCCAGGTATAGAATGTAAGATGTATGGAAGGGCATAATGTCTACTGCATGAACAGCGAGCGCCTTAACCACGGTAATCCGACTATGTGTACTATCAGCTCTTGATAGTCCATAGCTAATATGTTCAAGCTGGTTGATGCGGTTTGTCCACCTGCTGGGGTGGCACTGATCGTACGTCACGGGTCATGACATGGAGCCAAGCTCCATTGCATGGAGTGAGTGAGGGAGTTCCCCTCTTACAACAACATAACACAACCAATGTAAGTAGTTCAACATTTATTGAAAGATTATACTTCTTTAAAAACGAAAAAAAAGACACAAGGCAAGTTAAGGTAAATATTTCCTCAGACACACGCTTCACATGTCTTCCTTGGGACTGCATGTCTGACAATGGCGTTCTTAACAGTACGTACATTATTGTAATCACATGAAGAAGATATGACATTACTAGCTTGAACTGACAAAGGTCAAAGTCCTAGCACGGCAGCTGTGGTGGCAATTTAACGCTCTTCACCTTGACGTCCTGAGACACTCCGAACTTGAACCGCAGTCCACCGGCGACCTTCCAGGTGACCTTTTTTCCCTGGATGGACACCATGCCATCATTCCGTGCTGCCGCGTCACTGAGCTCATCCTTTAGGATAGTGGCAATGTCGCCCTCAACCACCTGCGTGGAGCCGCCGTTGTTGACCCTGACGAAGACACGACCGCGGATGTTGACCTCTGCTTCAAATGTGCAGTGATGTTCAATCTCCGTGATACGCAGTTCAGCAATGGTTCTCTTTTTCGGCTGAGCCTTCACCGTGGAGTTAAGCCCCCAGGAGACGGCGTGCTTCACCGAGCTCTGGTCCTCACTGGCGACGACGATGTCGCTACCGAAGACGCCGGTCATGTCAGAGACAACCTGAGGGACGTCAATGTGGATGCCGACGTTTCCGTTCTTTGAGAAGCCCTTTGTGACAAATGTCTTTACCGTGGCCTCCGTCGTCCGGTCCATCTGGAAGGTGTGGTTCTGGACTTCGTCGGTGTTGTTGTCGTAGTTGGAGGTGAAGACGATCTGAGATCTAGGTGTAACACACCCCTGCTGTTGATGGACAGGGGTGGTAAAAGTTGTCTTGACAGTCGACTGCCTCACCTTGCTCCAGTCGATCTCCATGGGGATGTTTTCACTGGGGCCATGTGTGTTACCCACTGTGCGGGCCTGGCGTCCGGCCCACTCTCTGATAACAGCATCAAAGTCGGTCATTCCCATGTTGTATCTTAAACAGAAAGGACATCATGGATATGCGATAATACTGAGTGTTTGAAACTATTGCTTACATCAGTGAAACCCCGTTTATCCGAACGGTAATGTTTCCTGTGAGTGTCCGGTTTAACGAACCATAAGTATGTCTTGTTCCTTGTGTGTAAACACAGTAACTACGATCTTAAAAATAGTTTTCTTAATATGCACAGTTATGCACAGTTGGTTGGGTGCGGTGGGGATGGTCTATGGGCTATGGGCGAGGGCTGTGGGGTTGGGCAAATACTGGGGCTACAGGCGAGGGCTGCAGGGGTGGGGCTACAGGCGAGGGGCGAGGGTCGTGGGGTGGGACTACAGGCGAGGGGCGAGGGTAGTAGGTTGGGGCTACAGACGAGGGGCGAGGGGTGGGACTACAGGCGAGGGGCGAGGGTAGTAGGGTGGGGCTACAGGCGAGGGCCGTGGGGTGGGACTACAGTCGAGGGGCGAGGGTAGTAGGGTGGGGCTACAGACGAGGGGCGAGGGCTGTGGGGTGGGGCTAAAGGGATGGGGCTACAGGCGAGGGGCGAGAGCTGCCGGGCGAGGGCTGTGGGGTCGGGCTTCAGGCGAGGGGCGAGGGCTGCCGGGCGAGGGCTGTGGAGTGTGCTATTTAAAAGTTACACAACAAGGGCTCTCTTAGCACAAATATGAGGTACTGAGTTCGAGTCTACGTCTCAAGAAGCGAAAACTAACAAAAAGTGTGAAATCAAACATATATAAAGAGTCTAGTTAATTAATTAATTGCCATATAAATACAATCATATATTACTACATATAAAATACAATTTAAAGTTTAAAAAAAAATAAAAGTTAAATTTCAACTGTTATTGGTACCCATAGTTTGTGTGAAGTTTCACGTCAAACTGAAATACGCCCGATGACAACACATATGTCATCAGTCAATAAATCAATTCCTGCACCAGGCTTGTACCCACCTTCCCTCCACAAGAACGCGTCACAGTGGCATGTATACATTTAACAGAGAACTATCTGTCCCAAATAGATCTACCCTGAGTGTAATGATGTCCACGTTCCCTCCACAAGAACGCGTCACAGTGGCATGTATACATTTAACAGAGAACTATCTGTCCCAAATAGATCTACCCTGAGTGTAATGATGTCCACGTTCCCTCCACAAGAACGCGTCACAGTGGCATGTATACATTTAACAGAGAACTATCTGTCCCAAATAGATCTACCCTGAGTGTAATGATGTCCACGTTCCCTCCACAAGAACGCGTCACAGTGGCATGTATACATTTAACAGAGAACTATCTGTCCCAAATAGATCTACCCTGAGTGTAATGATGTCCACGTTCCCTCCACAAGAACGCGTCACAGTGGCATGTATACATTTAACAGAGAACTATCTGTCCCAAATAGATCTACCCTGAGTGTAATGATGTCCACGTTCCCTCCACAAGAACGCGTCACAGTGGCATGTATACATTTAACAGAGAACTATCTGTCCCAAATAGATCTACCCTGAGTGTAATGATGTCCACGTTCCCTCCACAAGAACACGTCACAGTGGCATGTATACATTTAACAGAGAATTATCTGTTCAAAATAGATCTACCCTGAGTGTAATGATGTCCACGTACCACATTCACGGCTGTAGTTACCACGATCTGTACACCTGTGACCAATCTACATGAAACAAACAAGGGACTGGCACTTACCTAGTTTTGTGAGTCAAAATATGCAGTGCCTCCAAGTACTGGTTATACAACTTTGTGAAATACCGAGCCAATTCGACTTATATATACCCTCTGCTGTTTAATGTTAAAATTAAACATGACTCGGTGTGTCTTTGATTATTGTATTAGTAACGGCTCCATCCAATAGGTATCACGTAAAATATTGAAAGTTTGGGAATAACCAGAAATGTCGGAGGCTTTTGTTCAAAGAATATGCGAAGTACCTCCAAAGGGGTGGAGCTTCGTGGTGGGCGTGGCATATTAGGAGTCGGCTTGTTCCACGATCACTGCTGCAAATGACATGGTTCTATTTATAGCCAGTGTGAGTTGCGCATGACAAAACATTGTACCCAAAGGTTGTCTAATAACATAATAGCCCATCACAACTGCATTTTATCAATGATTATGTCGAAAAGGATTATCAATTTTACACCATAAACATCATTCCGAAATCAACATTAAATTTTAATTATATTTTTTAATGTTATCTTAGGTCAAGGATTTTGTCAACTCAATAATGGCAATATATTTACACAGATAATTGTTGATTTATGTACAGTGAACTCCCGTGAATCCGGATACCTCGTTATATATGGGCATAGGGGCGTCAGGACTTGCCTGTGACTCGTTAATGCCGAAATTTGTGAATGCGGGTATTATATTTACGGTTTCAACAACACCGTTCGGATAAACGAGATTCTACTGTAGAATGAACCGGTGTCTTGCTCCTAGGGAGTAGAGAGACGTACCTATACTAAGCAGTGTTAAATAATACCCGGTTTTTATTATGGATCGCGACTTCTGTGACAATCAAAAGGTTGAAGTCAGCTGGGTTCGGCTTTCATGTCATGGTTAGTGTGTGTGTGTGGGGGGGGGGGGGGGGGGGGGGGGGGGGAACAGAGATCGGGCATTAAATACATTTCACCATGAGGCGTTAGCCAGTGGAGATACATGTCTTGTAACAGAGCGGTGTGTTTGAATGACACTGTGAACAATGTCCGAGCAATGAACGCTGCCGAGTCTATTCATCAGTCATATAGTAAGCACTAACGCGTTAGGTACAGATCGATGGAGTCCGTAACAGCGGAGGTGTATATGTTGCTGGTATTTCTGCCCCTACAACAATGCCCATATATTGTGCTGACATTCGTGTTGAATCATTAATTGGTGTTTTACGCCGCATCACAAACGCTGTAGCCAGTAGTATACTAGTCTTCAGCTCTGCCGACCAGGGGGAGGTGATGGGGAGCTGCTCCAGGGGTTGTTGTGTTCGGAAACAGAAAGTGTTTATTCAGCAAGAGTATTGTTTTACGCCGCTTTTAGCGATATTCCAGCAATATCACAGCGGGGGACACTAGAAATGGTGGGGAATCGAACCCGGGTCTACGGCGTGACGAGCGAACGCTTAACTAACTAGGCTATCCCACCGCCCCTTAGTCAGTTAGAAAGGTCACTGGCTTAGAGCTCATAAAGCCTCATAATATTACAATAATAACATCTTTATATTTTTTTCTTGAAATTGTATTTTTGTGGTCACTCGCAGATCACAGAGTATTATATGCCGCAATCAGCCACTATACCACAGCGAGTGATTGTTATATGCGTCGTATTTACACAGCGGATGACACGTTAAACACTAAACAACATTCCAGAATCAATGAACATTCCAGATGAAGTTGCGATAGATCATAGCTGCAGTTAACGACCTCCACATGGACAAATTGTTTTACACCACGCATGTCAACATGTCACCAGCCATCACGTGATGTGGCGCGAAGTATGCCGCTCTCGGAGACAGAAATACCCACAGGTATTGTAGCATTCTCTCTCTTTCACTCATTTCTCCGACCAAAGAGGTCACTCTGACGTCACAGCCACTCTATTTATGTGCCGATATTTAGGTATGATTATGAACTTTTATTATCAAGTGAAAAAAAATCAGATTTTGTTACCGACACCACCGTTGTTACATCGTTTCTTTTCGCGTGTGTTGCGAACTCCCGTTAAACCGAACACTGTTGCTTACATCGCGTGTGTTAAACATACATGGTGAACCCCCTTTAAACCGGACACCTCTCCTCTGTCTTTACATGACGGGTGTGACACAGGCACATTGAAGCCCCGTTAAACCGAACACTGTTGCTCACACCACGTGTGTTTCTCATATATAGTGAACCCCCTTTAAACCGGACGGTTGTTTGCCTCGTCTAGTCGTCCCGATTTACGAATTACAACTTCGTACTAAATAAACATGACGTGGTAATACATTGTATAGCACATATAAGCTTGTATAAGAAGTCTTATGAACAGGTTTCTGGAATACCGAGGTCCAGACGGGCGGACTTTTAGTGTGTGGTCCGTGTGTGGTCCGTGTGTGGTCAGTGTGGATGAACGATGCCCATTTGGAGTCAAGCTGCTGAGAATGTAATCACCCCTCGTCAATAAAGATGTACTTATCGTGCGTTGTCTTATCTTACTGTTTGAATATCATATTACGGAAGAGTTGATGCTTAGACATATTTTTTGTGTAATTAGGTACACCATTCCTGTCAGTACTGAACACAATCTATGACCTATGAATGACGACATTGCAATACATTTCACAATCAAATGTCCAGGTGACGTGGCGCCATGTTTATCGCGACCAAGGAATGCCAAGCTGTAATTATAGCATGTCTCGAACATTCAGCGGCGGGATCAGCAGAACAGCAACAGAATACAAGTGGACGGTGGTTACATCAATTGTATACCCACAACGATATATACTGTGATCTTGTAAAAAGATATGTGCCAAAAACGATATATATACTATGATCATGTAAATAGATATGTGCCCACAACGATATATACTGTGATCTTGTAAAAAGATATGTGCCAAAAACGATATATATACTATGATCATGTAAATAGATATGTGCCCACAACTATATATATACTATGATCATGTAAATAGATACGTGTTTACAACGATATATACTGTGATCTTGTAAATAGATATGTGCCCACAACGATATACTATGATCTTGTAAATAGATATGTGCCCACAACGATATATACTATGATCTTGTAAATAGATATGTGCCCACAACGATATATACTATGATCTTGTAAATAGATATGTGCCAAAAACGATATATATACTATGATCATGTAAATAGATATGTGCCCACAACTATATATATACTATGATCATGTAAATAGATACGTGTTTACAACGATATATACTGTGATCTTGTAAATAGATATGTGCCCACAACGATATATACTGTGATCTTGTAAAAAGATATGTGCCAAAAACGATATATATACTATGATCATGTAAATAGATATGTGCCCACAACTATATATATACTGTGATCATGTAAATAGATACGTGTTTACAACGATATATACTGTGATCTTGTAAATAGATATGTGCCCACAACGATATACTATGATCTTGTAAATAGATATGTGCCCACAACGATATACTGTGATCTTGTAAATAGATAGGTGCCCACAACGATATATACTATGATCTTGTAAATAGATATGTGCCCACAACGATATACTGTGATCTTGTAAATAGATATGTGCCCACAACGATATATACTGTGATCTTGTAAATACATATGTGCCCACAACGATATATACTGTGATCTTGTAAATAGATATGTGCCCACAACGATATATACTGTGATCTTATAAATAGATATGTGCCCACAACGATATATACTGTGATCTTCTAAATAGATATGTGCCCACAACGATATATACTATGATCTTGTAAATAGATATGTGCACACAACGATATATACTATGATCTTGTAAATAGATACGTGCCCACAACGATTTATACTGTGATCTTGTTAATAGATACGTGCCCACAACGATTTATACTGTGATCTTGTAAATAGATAGGCGCCTACAACGATATATACTAAGATCTTGTAAATAGATATGTGCCCACAACGATATACTGTGATCTTGTAAATAGATATGTGCCCACAACGATATACTGTGATCTTGTAAATAGATATGTGCCCACAACGATATCCTGTGATCTTGTAAATAGATATGTGCCAACAACGATATACTATGATCTTGTTAATAGATATGTGCCCACAACGATATATACGATGGTCTTGTAAATATATATGTGCCCACAACGATATATACCGTGATCTTGTAAATAGATATGTGCCCACAACGATATATACTATGATCTTGTTAATAGATACGTGCCCACAACGATATATACTATGATCTTTTAAATAGATATGTGCCCACAACGATGTATACTGTGATCTTGTAAATAGATATATGCCCACGATATACTTTGATCTTGTAAATAGATATGTGCCCACAACGATATACTATGATCTTGTTTTTGATATGTGCCCACAACGATATACTGTGATCTTGTAAATAGATATGTGCCCACATCGATTTATACTGTGATCTTGTAAATAGATAGGTGCCCTCAACGATATATACTAAGATCTTGTAAATACATATGTGCCCACAACGATATACTGTGGTCTTGTAAATAGATATTTGCCCACAACGATATGTACGATGGTCTTGTAAATATATATGTGCCCACAACGATACATACTATGATCTTGTAAATAGATATGTGCCCACAGCGATATATACTATGATCTTGTAAATAGATATGTGCCCACAACTATATATATCGTGATCTTGTAAATAGATATGTGCCCACAACGATATATACTTTGATCTTGTTAATAGATATGTGCCCACAACGATATATACTATGATCTTGTTAATATATACGTGCCCACAACGATATATGCTATGATCTTTTAAATAGATACGTGCCCACAACGATATATACTATGATCTTGTTAATAGATACGTGCCCACAACGATATATACTATGATCTTGTTAATAGATATGTGCCCACAACGATATATACTATGATCTTTTAAATAGATATGTGCCCACAACGATATATACTGTGATCTTGTTAATAGATATGTGCCCACAACGATATATACTATGATCTTGTAAATAGATGGAGAGGCAAATAGATAGTGTCTCACATACTGATAGTACATGACAACCACACAGTCAGACACGTGTGTACAGTTTGGGAGCCTGTGTTTGTATGTCCGGTGTAGAGGAGTGTTTGTATGTCTAGTGTAGAGGAGTGTTTGTATGTCTAGTGTAGAGGAGTGTTTGTATGTCTAGTGTAGAGGAGTGTTTGTATGTCTAGTGTAGAGGAGTGTTTGTAAGTCTAGTGTAGAGGAGTGTCTGTAAGTCTAGTGTAGAGGAGTGTTTGTATGTCTAGTGTAGAGGAGTGTTTGTATGTCTAGTGTAGAGGAGTGTTTGTAAGTCTAGTGTAGAGGAGTGTTTGTATGTCTAGTGTAGAGGAGTGTTTGTAAGTCTAGTGTAGAGGAGTCTGACTTCATGGTATGATGAGGGGAAGGGAAATGGTGTTTGACGTCGCGTCTAAGATTATTGCACTAAAACAGCGACGTGCGTGCGTATGTCTGCGTGTACTGGTCCGGACTATTGCCGAGTTCATAGTGCTAGCACACTGAGATACCATGCCGCAGTTTAACATGAATACCCCACTCAGACACAGTTTACTGACTCGGAGACGACCAGTCCTTGTTTTCACCCCTTAGTGCCGAGCGTCAGGCAGGGTAATAAAAGGCAACAACGTTTTACGTCGTTTGGTACGACGCGTCCGGGGTTCGAACCATCGAGCTTCCACTCTGCGTGCGGACGGTCTACCACTAGGCCACGGCGGCGGTCCACACGAAGTATATGTACATCCACGGGATACGTCACCAACATACATAGGCTACAGTAGAGTAGATGGGTCGTCATACTGGGACAGTCTTGTTCATGAAGTCACCAACATACGTAGGCTACAGTAGAGTAGACGGGTCGTCATACTGGGACAGCCGTGTTTATGAAGTCACCGACATACGTAGACTACAGTAGAGTAGATGGGTCGTCATACTGGGACAGCCGTGTTTATGAAGTCACCGACATACATAGGCTACAGTAGAGTAGACGGGTCGTCATACTGGGACAGCCGTGTTTATGAAGTCACCGACATACATAGGCTACAGTAGAGTAGATGGGTCGTCATACTGGGACCGCTGTGTTTATGAAGTCACCGACATACATAGGCTACAGTAGAGTAGACGGGTCGTCATACTGGGACAGCCGTGTTTATGAAGTCACCGACATACATAGGCTACAGTAGAGTAGATGGGTCGTCATACTGGGACAGCCGTGTTTATGAAGTCACCGACATACATAGGCTACAGTAGAGTAGACGGGTCGTCATACTGGGACAGTCTTGTTCATGAAGTCACCGACATACAGACACGACAAGGAGACCCAGAACAGAACAAAACAGAACTTATGTTTCTCTTTAAAGGAACTGTCCTGCATGCGAGGTACTAATGACAATATATATAATGTGAGATGCCGGGTACAAGCTTAACTGGAAGTAAGGGTAAGATATATGGATGAACAACTACTTTATTACAATTAGGAGTGACGTTTCGGTGTAGGTTCTAACACCGTTATCAAGCAAGTGATAACTCGTCACTTGTGTGATGACAGTGTTAGAACCTACACCGAAACGTCGCTCTTAATTGTAATAAAGAAGTTGTTCATCCATTTATCTTATCCTTACTTAGTACTCCAACTTCTAAATGCCTCTCAAAGAAGAACTTAACTGGAAGATTTAACATTTCCTATGATGTGCTAACAAAATAGTGTTTTTTTAACAACTGACAGTTTGGTACAATTAAAAAGTGCTTTGAATGTTAACTTCTTTTGTGTAAACAATTGTCCCTTTAAAAATAATTTTAAATATATACTGGAATTCTTCACCAGTATCATTAATGTTACATTGCTGCATTTCATTTCCTATATTGGTCCATATCCCCTTTTCAATGGGCAGTTATGATAGCTTTATTACCAAAGAAAATGGTGTAAAATTTAAACAATTTTCCAAATTGAATTCGAATTTCATTATAGAGTACGTTGAGCATTTACTTGAATTTAAATTATACGCATTCCAATTTCGTTTCGATTTTTCAGTTAGAATGCGACGGACAGAGTTTTTAAGCGACGAAGATGAAATAAAAGGATTGCAATAACCAAACATAGCCAAGCCCTGTATAATTTCCAATATATTTTACAAATTAAAGGACAACCATTAACCAACATGACTAGACTTGATGCAATATCAATGTACATGTATATTAGAGTTTCGAGGATTGTTTTGTGGATTTACTGAGTAACAGTTTTGACCAGAATGTTTACATACGTGTCTGAACGCAGAGAGTGGATATCTAACAAAATCCCCATAAAGCATAAATAAATGGGTACCCCTCTTAACAGGCATATTAACAAAACCCCATGGCCATGTGTTACATCCATACACTAGAATAGACTACTAGGCTTAACCATGGCCGTAAAAAGACACGCGTGGATTCAAGTTTGCAGTCGTCCTCTGTAAGAAAGACACGCATGCAGGGTTTTCTAGCCCTAAACATTTGTTCGGATCACTACGGATCTAACGGATCCGGTATTATCTGATTATAATGTACTCAATGTCGTTGAATGATTGATTGGTGTTCGTGAAGGAAATACTCACGTGGCCTATTTATCAGCAAGCTCTTATATAAATGTCTTGCTGTGTGTATGGTTGTACTTAGGGAACCGTTGTTCCTTTTGTACATGTATATGATGCTGATTGCGATTTCTGTTCAAAGTTTTAACATTATTTTATTTATCAATATGTATCTAGTCAAACCTGACGTTCATACAGCAATTATCGTAAGTATCACAATACACAGCCACATATGATTTTCTTGTTTAATTAAGTGCAGAAAGGACAGGAGAAATAAAAAACGAAGTAATAACTTATATCCAGCTATACTGGAAAACATAACACATCATCGGTTTAAATAGTGGCTTTCGTTTTGTCGAACAACCCCATCGAATATGAACACACACACAATCGCACAATGTAGTTTACTTACATTCACTTTTACTGATTGCTCTTTTATTGAATTGAAAACGTCTCGAATTAGTGACACGTGTTACCTGTCATGGCTATAAAAAGATACTGGGGTTAACCCGAGCACGTAATGCTATATAAGTAGATATGTTCAAATAACTTCAGTTTTCAACTTTTCATACAGCTGATCGACCGAAAGACAACTGCGACGCGTACTAATGTAAGTAGCATTCCTTTGATTCATGATCTCTTATTTTCTAGGTCAATAGCACAATGGATAAAGTGTGTTTGGTTTATTTAAACAGAGATCCACAGCTCTATAACTACATCGACTAAAGTCTGAATGTACTGAATGCAGGGTCATTCAGCATATCACAATTGACGCATATCGCTGTCTGTTTAACTGCTTCTACTGTTAGGGGCAGCGGGATAGTCCAGTGGTGAATGCGTCGGCTCCATGCCGAAACCCACGGCTCAGTTCCCTACACGGATACACATTAGACACGGGGACCCGAGTGGTCTAACATACTTTAATCATTTATAGCACCTAAAATGCTTTACAAACATTGTTTTGTTGAAGGTATTTTGAAAGATATTCTCAACTGTGAGAATACTGTGCGAATCGGGCCTGCGTGATTCACGTGCAATATGTTCCCCGAGCCTTTCGCACGTGCACCTCGCCGATTTTAGGTTATAAAATACATGTCCCTGGGCAAGTATACCATTCAGTTTGGACCAACTCGAGCACATTTATCAATCACCTAAAGTTAAAACATTACTTGTTCATGTTGATGGGCCTATTATGAGCACACACAGCCCTGATCTAGATAATAGTAATTTCTTTTCTGTTCGTTTCGTTGACCAAAAAGCTACCAAATCACAAGTACTGTACAAATACCACAATGCCCAGAATAACACACATATAACATATTTCGCAGTTCATATACGGATAAGCAATAAATCCTGATGTAAGTATTTAACTAGTTTAGTTGTTAATTTCAAACAATTTCTCCAATGTCGCCGTGGTAGAAGACAACATTTGTCAGCCTTCCGAGTGTACTTCTCTGGTTCTAAACCCGCTGGCGACAAACGTTTTATGTGAAATTGTTCTATCATCAAGATAAATGATAGGTGAGGTGAGGTGAAATTGGGTTTAACGTCGCGTCCAAGATTATTGCACTTATATAGCGACGTGCATGCACGTGTATGTGTGTGTGTGGCTGCTTGTACTAGTCCGGACTGATGCCGATTTATAGTGCTAGCTCACTGAGATACCATGCCGCAGTTTAACATGAATACCCCACTCAGACACAGTATACTGACTCCGAGCCGACCAGTCCTTGTTTTAGCCCCTTAATGCCGAGCGCCAGACAGGGTAACAACAAGTACAATCTTTTAACGTCTTTTTGTATGACGCGGCCCGGGATCGAACCCTGGACCTTCCGCTCTCCGGGCGGACGCTCTACCACAAGACCACGGAGGCGGTCAGATAAATGATAGGGAAAGAAAGAAGTTCCGGCATTACCAAGTGGTGTTTAACAAACAGTTAGTTAGACCACAGTCAAAGACAAAGGAGCCATGGTTAGATACGTTTATGGGGAGTGTTGCTTTCCATGTCTTGCCATGGGATTTAGCAAAGCGGGACATTTTAGTGGATAACATGTTGGTCCATTCCCACTGATCGGAACTTGAAAGTAGCATGGACTGTATAATTCTTGATGACTTATGTACACATGATGTAAATGATTTTGTTGGTTGGTTTGTTGTTTAACGCCGCACTCAGCAATATTCCAGCTATATGACGGCTAAATAATCGAGTCTGGACCAGACGATCCTGTGATTGATATCATGAGCATCGATCCACGCAATTGAGATCGATGACATGCATCAACCAAGTTAGCGAGCCTGACCACCAGGTCCCGTTAGTCGCCTTATACGGCAAGCATGGGTGGCTGAAGACCTATTCTACCCCTGAATCTTCACGGGTCTGATGTAAATGACAGAATATTAGGTGAGTTTGTGAGTTAATGCCGCTTTGAAAATTGCAATATGTACATTTCATCCAAAAAGCAGTTTTATTTCAACATAACTAGTTATATCTCGACGTGTTAGTTGGAGTAGGTGCTGTCACAATCGTAGACGTTGACAACTGCAATGCCAACTCGATCCCCATTTATAACGGTACAACTCCGACATCCGTACATGCGTAGAGAGTTGGGACGTCTGTACGTCCTTTGACAAGGGGCAGGTAATTTGTACACGTTGTACGTGATCAGTCGCACCGTGTACACCGAGTTCTAAATAACAGTATAGCACAGCCTGTTATGCGATAGTTTGTTTGTTTGTTGTTGTTTAACGCCACACCCAGCAATATTCCAGCTATATGACGGCGGTCTGTAAATAATCAAGTCTGTACCAGATTATCCAGTTATTGATATCAAGAGCATCGGTCCGCGCAGTTGGAATACGATGACATGCATCAACCAAGTCAGCGAGCCTGACCACCCGATCATGTAAGTCACCTCTTACGATAAGCATAGTCGCCTTTTACGGCAAGAATGGGTTGCTAAAGACCAAGTCTTCAACGGATCTTCACGGGTCTTATGCGATAGTTAATTTCAGAGCATCAACAGGCATACATCGGGGAACGTTTAAGGTTTTGACGTGTACTCTCTTCACCATTTCAGTCACAGTCGAAGATGGGAGGAACTGAATCAAGTCCAGACAAGGAAACTTTGAAACCGGCAGTGCCGCCTCCAGTTGTAGATCTGGACAGCATACTGAAGGAGTGGGCCTGGAAGAAGTACTCAATCACGGCCAGTGAGGACAGGCTGTCTTACAAAGACGTTGAGTTCAAGGTCATCTGGGACAGCGTCCACTTCGACACGAGAGACGTCTCTTATGGGAGCAAAGAGGGCCCTTCGCCGTCACAGACAACGACGGTGTTCCAGTCAGACTACGCCAATAACACGAACGAAACACAGGAACACAACTTCTCAACCCAGCGGACCACTGAGGCCACCTCCACTACAGACTTGACAAACGGATTCACTAGAGGAGTGAAGAATGGCATCTGCATTCCTGTTCCACCGGAAGTCACAAAAGTGACTTCCGGTTTTGGAAACGAGGTTATCGTGGAAAGTGAGAACAGTAATTCAGTGAAGCACTCAATAACCTGGACCGCCAATTCCAACATACGGGTCCCTCCGATGTCGAGAACGGTTGCCACGCTACACATCAATCAGCAGACATTTAACTGTAGGTTTACGGCACTCGTGGCCTTCAAAGGTCAGGTCAAGATCACACTCAGCAGCATAAGAAGTGGGGCCTTCTTGATGACAGTTGAGAATAGGATTGGACAGATTGTCAGCGATATGTTTGAGGCCTATGGCTATGTCTACACTGATGACGATACACAAAGCGTTCACACTGATGGCAGAACCGTGTTTTGGTCAGTCGGGGGCTCTCTCAGTTTCAAATATGGCGTGTCACAGAAGGTGGAGGTCTCACACGTCGGCAGTCCCAGAAGATGAGATGCACTGGCTCTGCTCGTCTCACATACAGACCCTGAAACAAATCCAATACAGCCCATGCAAGTGAAAATGAAGAAAGTCTCTGGGCTCCTTTATATTATATTTTATGACTAACATTAAGCAACTGTTTTCTGTAAAATATGATTATTTCAGAGACTAGACTATGGCTCTGCAACAAATATTGTAGATAGAACCCAGAGGCAGTGTCAGTGTGCTTACTTTTAACTGTGGCCATATTTTGCTTATTGTGAATCTATTCTGACACAACACTTCACCTCCTTATGTACGCCGACGTTGTATCATTGTGATAGACAACTTAGGACCAGAGACTATATAAAGACTTATAAACAACAGCAATTAAACTTGTGTACACGTACGTATACCACGTTGTTGCTCCTGTCAACACCGAGTACTCCACCTTCTGTTCCCATGTGTATTCTTGCCTGATGAAACGTTTGAAGTCTTGAGATTGTAGAACAGAAGAGACTTTATTAACCTGTTGCAACTGTTGTGAGCAAATAAAATATATGTATTATAGTCCTGACGTTGTGTCTTTCCTCATAATTTACATGCCCATCAGGGGGCACGGGTGGCACAGTCGTCTAAGGCGCCGCGGTTCGCTGTGCAGAGTTGCGTCCCCACGCCAGAAACCTATCATTGTTGGTTCGAATCCCGGTTCGCCCCGATTATGTTTATAGGTTTGTCAGCACCATACCCGTGCTCGTGGGTTTCACCGAAGTGGTGGACGTCCGAGACCTGCATCACTTCGGGCTTTCCTCCCACATTAAGCTGACACGCCGCGATATAACTGGAATACTGTTAAAAGCGGCGTTAAACCCAACTCACTCACTCACTCACTCACGACATGACCATCATATCGTTTGATAAAGGGAGATAACAATGGCCTGACGCTATAGACAGACGCAGTGCTGGAAGTTCGCTCGTGGTATGCGTGCGTTTGTCGTCTGTGACACATTACTTGATTGCACGTGATCGTGGGGTGACGGGTTGTAGCACTTTTCATCCTGAGTCTGGATGTGCCGTGTGTATAGAGGGGAAAGGACCGTATGAATGAACAGTGGGACATTTAACTGATGGGATGGGCCTAAACTGGTTCCACTGCTGGTACGCGACGCAAGCTTAGCGCTGTTAACCCAAAATCGGCGGCCAAAACAAAGTGATACAAATCTGTACCATATCCGGTTGTAGGTACGCATGCGTGACGTCCTTATTACCTTAATGCAGAGTTATTTTCCATCACAGGTTTTTAATACGTTCTGAAGGGTGAATGGTCTGCAATAATTCCGATCGCGCGGCACGGGGCCCTCCACGGAATATTAAACTTAATCACAAACAAATTTCACGTAGTCCGCTATTTCTTTTCATTCAATACAAGGGACCAATGGATGCGGTGTTTACTGTTGACCACAACCAAATGTTTTCCCACAGACTTCTATAGTTCTATATTCTATACTTCTAATAACTTGGCATTCAACAACCAATTGAAGTACATATATATGTACAGTCTGGCCTTAAAACTGCAATAAAAACACACATTTTGGCTAGGTTACCCAGTGTCTTTCCCGAGTACAGGAAGCGTAACACACTTATCACAGTCCCGCAGCAAATGTCACCTATTTCAAAATAGCTGTTCTCCCATTCAGTATTGTTAAAACTTCACCAAATTTTGTAAAAAACATGGTCAGTTTAAATTACTGGATGGATGTACATTTAAAAACAAATCTCACACAATATCAGCCCATCACGGCTGCAAGATAGTTCTCGATCTGCACAGAAGGCTGATTCTGATTTAGTGCAGTAGAACCTATAGTATAGGTGCACTGGAACCCAGTCAAGGAAGGCTAAGTCGTCGATGACTTGAGAGGTTTTTGGCGTACCAGAAACCTGTGATTGTTTGTTCAAATCCCGGTTCGCCGTGATTATTTTTCAGATTTGTCAGCACCACACCCGTGGTTGTGGCTTTCACTAAAGCTGTAAACGTCTGAGACGTCCATAAATTCTATATTTCCTCCAACATCAAGATCACACGCGGGGGTGTAACTGGAATACTGTTCAAAGCGACGTTAAACCCAACTCACTCACTCAAACCCGTGTCTTCATAGAGCGCATGCATGTAACGGCATCGCCACCAATCACACTATCGTGGGGGTATACGCATTATAATGATTAAGAATATCCTATAAAAAATCACTCAGTTGCGGGTTCGACTTTCGTATTCACCTCGATTAATGTTGGTCTGATAGCACCAAACATTTGCTTTAACAAAGGTGGTCAGCACATGAAAGATGATATAACTGATAGATCTTCAAGGGAGCCTTATACCTTCCCCAAACCCACTCACTCACTCAACAACACACCCACCCACTCACTCACTCAACCACATACCCGCCCTCTCACTCACTCAACCACACAGCCACCCAATCACTCACACAACCAATCTCCCACCTTCTCACTCT